GTTCCCGAAAATTGAACCCTGATACTCGCAGATAACTGATTCTCATAACTGACACTGATACTGGTGTCCTCAGATCTGATACTCAAACTTGCAAACTGTTATATACTTTCCCTGTAGAAATACATTCTAAAAGCACATAGCAAGTAAAGAGAGCCAAAACACCCCTATGTTGGGGTAGGGTTTCCCTGTCCTATTTTGTCAGGAGCTAGGGTTCCACTATGCACGCAGCGGTTTCAAACAACCTATAATCGGGTAAGCAACCTGTCCTAGTTTGGAATGGTCACTATGGATTCCGAATATGCACTAGGTCAAATGGTCAAAAAGGGTGCCCCGGTAAACCGGGGTTTGTGTTCCCATGCTGTCAGAGCCCATAACCGGTCAGCCTTATGGTCATGCCTTGACAAGACAAGCCTCCGGCAAACCGTTCAGGAATGGCAGATGGCAAACACTGTGTTCCTAGGCGCACCAATGCACATGCAATGCAAAGAGACACATAAATGAAATCAAAACAGGATATCACGAGTTCGAGTCAAGCTCTCTAAAATCCCCAGCAGAGTCGCCAGAAACTGTAGACGTCCCCCGAACGCCCCGGGAGGATGAGTCCCGTTCTGTTCATTTGTGAGGTCACTACAGTTCGGACTCTCAAATTGTCACGGTTCTTAATCTTGAACCAAAGAGTCCAAATCCGGCAAATCGTTTTGAGAAACAGATTTTTGAAAAGAAGTGCCAAACATGGACTGCTTTGCCAGATACAGAGTCGCCACCTAAATATTTTTTTAATAGGGAAATTTAGGAAACTCGGACTCGGTGCCGAAGGCCACATGTCCGTCATCACCGGAGTTGTCTCAGCTCGGGAGCTTGGGTACGATCGGGGAAGGTCAGCTATGAGCACCCCCTTTCGCCCGGTCCGAAGACCGGCCTCTACTAACCATGATATCCGATTTTGAAAACGTTATGTGTTCTTATTCCAATTATTAGCCTAGAATTACTATGTTATGCGCACAGCAAACAAGTATAGACTAGATTGCCTAATTTGGAAATAAGCATTGCATATCCGTTCGGTTTTGAAAAAGCGCTTTGGGATTTGCTACTCACAAGTAGGCTAAAATACAGATTTCAACGAGTTTTCCCAACTCAAACAACCCAACCTTCATCCACAGGCATTAAAACAGTTTATCACATAAGCATCTAGCCACATGGTAAACATGCTGTCATGATAGCATTCACACGCATGCGAGATGCTAAAGCAGGAAAGTACTTACATCGTACTCCGTGCCAAAACAATAAACTAGTTAGCAAACATGCATGTCCTAGTTCATGTCAATTTGACTAATGCAACACATACAGGATGCAACTAGATAGGCTCGGCTAATCCTAAACATGGCATGTGAAATTCGATCAATCGATGCGCGTATTCAATTTGGAATTGAAGTACAAATACCGTTAGCGTGATGTACTGAGCCCAATGCATGCAATACAAATGCATGAATGCACCCATGCACAGCATAAGGTATGCTAAATTAAACGTGCCCTAATACTAACCATCAAAGCAGGTAAGTAAAAGGGAAGAAAGAAGTGGAGATTATATTGGTTCATTATTCCTTACAGGAACAATCAAAAGCCAACATATTTGTCTTATTAATGATACATTTCATTGTTATATTGGTTCATTATTCCTTACAGGAACAATCAAAAGCCAACATATTTGTCTTATTAATGATACATTTCATTGTTATATTGGTTCATTATTCCTTACAGGAACAATCAAAAGCCAACATATTTGTCTTATTAATGATACATTTCATTGTTATATTGGTTCATTATTCCTTACAGGAACAATCAAAAGCCAACATATTTGTCTTATTAATGATACATTTCATTGTTATATTGGTTCATTATTCCTTACAGGAACAATCAAAAGCCAACATATTTGTCTTATTAATGATACATTTCATTGTTATATTGGTTCATTATTCCTTACAGGAACAATCAAAAGCCAACATATTTGTCTTATTAATGATACATTTCATTGTTATATTGGTTCATTATTCCTTACAGGAACAATCAAAAGCCAACATATTTGTCTTATTAATGATACATTTCATTGTTATATTGGTTCATTATTCCTTACAGGAACAATCAAAAGCCAACATATTTGTCTTATTAATGATACATTTCATTGTTATATTGGTTCATTATTCCTTACAGGAACAATCAAAAGCCAACATATTTGTCTTATTAATGATACATTTCATTGTTATATTGGTTCATTATTCCTTACAGGAACAATCAAAAGCCAACATATTTGTCTTATTAATGATACATTTCATTGTTATATTGGTTCATTATTCCTTACAGGAACAATCAAAAGCCAACATATTTGTCTTATTAATGATACATTTCATTGTTATATTGGTTCATTATTCCTTACAGGAACAATCAAAAGCCAACATATTTGTCTTATTAATGATACATTTCATTGTTATATTGGTTCATTATTCCTTACAGGAACAATCAAAAGCCAACATATTTGTCTTATTAATGATACATTTCATTGTTATATTGGTTCATTATTCCTTACAGGAACAATCAAAAGCCAACATATTTGTCTTATTAATGATACATTTCATTGTTATATTGGTTCATTATTCCTTACAGGAACAATCAAAAGCCAACATATTTGTCTTATTAATGATACATTTCATTGTTATATTGGTTCATTATTCCTTACAGGAACAATCAAAAGCCAACATATTTGTCTTATTAATGATACATTTCATTGTTATATTGGTTCATTATTCCTTACAGGAACAATCAAAAGCCAACATATTTGTCTTATTAATGATACATTTCATTGTTATATTGGTTCATTATTCCTTACAGGAACAATCAAAAGCCAACATATTTGTCTTATTAATGATACATTTCATTGTTATATTGGTTCATTATTCCTTACAGGAACAATCAAAAGCCAACATATTTGTCTTATTAATGATACATTTCATTGTTATATTGGTTCATTATTCCTTACAGGAACAATCAAAAGCCAACATATTTGTCTTATTAATGATACATTTCATTGTTATATTGGTTCATTATTCCTTACAGGAACAATCAAAAGCCAACATATTTGTCTTATTAATGATACATTTCATTGTTATATTGGTTCATTATTCCTTACAGGAACAATCAAAAGCCAACATATTTGTCTTATTAATGATACATTTCATTGTTATATTGGTTCATTATTCCTTACAGGAACAATCAAAAGCCAACATATTTGTCTTATTAATGATACATTTCATTGTTATATTGGTTCATTATTCCTTACAGGAACAATCAAAAGCCAACATATTTGTCTTATTAATGATACATTTCATTGTTATATTGGTTCATTATTCCTTACAGGAACAATCAAAAGCCAACATATTTGTCTTATTAATGATACATTTCATTGTTATATTGGTTCATTATTCCTTACAGGAACAATCAAAAGCCAACATATTTGTCTTATTAATGATACATTTCATTGTTATATTGGTTCATTATTCCTTACAGGAACAATCAAAAGCCAACATATTTGTCTTATTAATGATACATTTCATTGTTATATTGGTTCATTATTCCTTACAGGAACAATCAAAAGCCAACATATTTGTCTTATTAATGATACATTTCATTGTTATATTGGTTCATTATTCCTTACAGGAACAATCAAAAGCCAACATATTTGTCTTATTAATGATACATTTCATTGTTATATTGGTTCATTATTCCTTACAGGAACAATCAAAAGCCAACATATTTGTCTTATTAATGATACATTTCATTGTTATATTGGTTCATTATTCCTTACAGGAACAATCAAAAGCCAACATATTTGTCTTATTAATGATACATTTCATTGTTATATTGGTTCATTATTCCTTACAGGAACAATCAAAAGCCAACATATTTGTCTTACTAATGATACATTTCATTGTTATATTGGTTCATTATTCCTTACAGGAACAATCAAAAGCCAACATATTTGTCTTACTAATGATACATTTCATTGTTATATTGGTTCATTATTCCTTACAGGAACAATCAAAAGCCAACATATTTGTCTTACTAATGATACATTTCATTGTTATATTGGTTCATTATTCCTTACAGGAACAATCAAAAGCCAACATATTTGTCTTACTAATGATACATTTCATTGTTATATTGGTTCATTATTCCTTACAGGAACAATCAAAAGCCAACATATTTGTCTTACTAATGATACATTTCATTGTTATATTGGTTCATTATTCCTTACAGGAACAATCAAAAGCCAACATATTTGTCTTACTAATGATACATTTCATTGTTATATTGGTTCATTATTCCTTACAGGAACAATCAAAAGCCAACATATTTGTCTTACTAATGATACATTTCATTGTTATATTGGTTCATTATTCCTTACAGGAACAATCAAAAGCCAACATATTTGTCTTACTAATGATACATTTCATTGTTATATTGGTTCATTATTCCTTACAGGAACAATCAAAAGCCAACATATTTGTCTTACTAATGATACATTTCATTGTTATATTGGTTCATTATTCCTTACAGGAACAATCAAAAGCCAACATATTTGTCTTACTAATGATACATTTCATTGTTATATTGGTTCATTATTCCTTACAGGAACAATCAAAAGCCAACATATTTGTCTTACTAATGATACATTTCATTGTTATATTGGTTCATTATTCCTTACAGGAACAATCAAAAGCCAACATATTTGTCTTACTAATGATACATTTCATTGTTATATTGGTCATTCTTCCTTATAGGAACAATCAAAGGCCAACATCGCGAACAGAGAAAGGATGTATACAAAACAAAGGTGTGGTTCTAGGTCAATCCCTGTTAGAGTAGAAAAACTGGTACGTATCCTTGCACTTTCAGAATTATATTAGATTCTTAGCTTTATTTATTGAATATTTGGTTTATCGAATTAGGCACGAGAAAAGAAGATGCTACCTGATCTAGCAGAGTTGTACAAGGAAACTCACTATAATGAGAAAACACATGAGTGGATCTTATCTCAAGCTCAGTGTAATTATGTAAGTATATATTGCAATTTTTATTAACAAAATTTTAGAATACTATTTGTTATAATCTTATTTAATTTTCTAATAATTATTTAATTTTTTTTATATTTGATACGAAAATATGATACAGACATAGGCTGATCACCTCTCACAGCTGGGATCAACCCCTTTGACTGCAGAAGAGCTATCAATCAAAGTCCTAAAGCCAAGGTCTGGCTATGTGAAGGGACTTGGCATGAGACCTAGCCACTACCATATATGCTGAAACAAATGATTATGTGAAGCGCCTTGAGATGCAAATAGAGACACAAAATGAACAAATACAAATGCAGAATAATAAAATAGAAGATCTTGAAGAGGGTAAGAAGAAGCAAGGGGAGATAATGGCTGATGTTGCCAACTTTTTGAGGACCAAAGGATTCACTGGACACTTTGGAAGTGGAGGGGACTCATCCACAAGTGGACATACTTCTTGGTAAAGTATATTAACTTTAATATAACAAATTTTATAAAAGAATACATGTTTGAAGAATTAGGAAGTAATGGAAACATGCATATGACATCTAATTTGTACAGGTGCACATGACGTATAAATTGTGAATTAGTCTAAAAAATATATTTTTTTCTCTATACTTAAAGCTTGAAAAAAGGCTGTCGAAATGCTAAATTATCACACAATTACAGATTTGTACGAGAACCAATAGAAACACCTTAGGAGGGACCAATATAAGTTGTATGAACTTACGGCACATTAATGGGATGCACCATTTGTGAATTAGCCTTAAAATTAATTTTTTGTTCTCATAATCTAAAAAAAAGTCTGTTACAGGGATAAATTGTATAATTGATCTAATTGTAAATTGATGAGTTACTAATGTTTTTAATCTTTTGTATAATTGATTAATTACTAAAACTTTTAATTTATTTTTTTGCAGATTGGATTTGGGTGGCATTTTTGACGTGCAACAATGATGTAATTTATTTGAATGTTCATTTTTGTTTGATAAGGATACACATACTTTTTGGAGTTACACTAGTTATTGTTGGATTTTTGGTGGAATTGAACAAGTTATAACTTTCGGATATTTTGTGGATATTTCACTATTTTATTATATCAGCATGAAATTATTTGTAATAATGAATAGATATTTTCATTTTGTTAATTCGTAAATGTGTTGATAATAGGTTAGGTTAAGTTGTGATGGAATTGTTATATTCAACAGGTTTCAACATGAACAGGGTCATATTTGTTGAACTAAAATTTAGATTTTGATAAAATAGGTATATAATGTGGAAAAAAATATTATGAAATTATTGACAAAAATTTTCATCCCTAAAGAAGGTTTTTTTGTCTCTTATTTGGCTTAGGTGGATGATTAATTTTGTCATAAATTCTTTATTTCGTCGCTAAATGAATTTGTCATGACAAAAAATATTGTCACATTTTGTCACTATTACCCTCAATGTGTGACCAATTTTTTTTGACATTATTCCATCATTTTTAATGATGAATTTGTTTTTATCTCTATTGGTAGCTTCTTTGACAAAAAATTTTCATCTTCGTTTATATTAAACGTGACAAAATTATTACGTCTCTATTTCTTGTATTTATGACAAAATACTTTTGTCTCTAATTTCTCCTTTAATGACAAAATATTTTGTCACTAATTACTTATAAGTATGTTCCCAACAGAGTGTATTGGAGACAAAAAAAATTCGTCACAAATTTATCATTTTTAATGATGAATTTGTTTTTATCTCTATTGGTAACTTCTTTGACAAAAAATTGTCATATTCGTTTATATTAAACGTGACAAAAGTATTTCATCTCTATTTCTTATATTTATGACAAAATACTTTTGTCTCTAATTTCTATTTTTAATGACAAAATATTTTGTCACTAATTACTTATAAGTATGTTCCCAACAGAGTGTATTGGAGACAAAAAAAATCGTCACAAATTTATCATTTTCAATGACGAATTTTTTTTTTCGTCTCTAAGACCCTTTAGCGACGACCCTTTGGAGACAAAACGGGTGGCGAAAAATGTTTGTCGTAATTAGTTTGGGTGACGAAATATATACATTTTGGGACAAATTTGTTTCGTCTTTAAATCCCAAATTTGTTGTACCACAACAAGTTGCTTCATGGATGTTAAGGATTGCTCAAGCATTTGGTTCTTGACTTTTAGTCCTACAGTCTCGATGTTTTGATTTTGATAAAGATTTGTCTCGTTCCTTTGCCTCTCTACCATATAATCCAACATTTTACTTAAGAAAAGAAACAAAATCTTAAAATGGCTAATATAGGTGTATTTCCCAAAGTGGAAATGTTTATTGACTACTGTCCTGAAGTTGCTTTGGCCTTTTTCTTGTAACTACTTTTAACAAAGATGAAGACCATCCATACGACTAATAATAATCCAACATATAAAAATAAGGTGAGGACAATACAATATATGTAAATATAAATTTCAAGCATAGAAACATTCTCATGCAAGCTTCAAGAGTATTTTGCTCTCGAAATTCAAGCATACAAACATGTGTATGCACACATATGGACCTATAATTAATTGTGATAATATAGATCCATAAAATGTTAAAAAATTACTCATTTTTATTTTTATTTTTTATATTATAAATCTTATTACAAATCTAGTTTTTTAATTTACAAATTTACAAGGAAAACTGATGGTTTTATTGCACATACATGGATTTGGGACCAAATGCATCACAGTAGTTTACTCTGGATATATATATTGTTATCTTCTTTTAAGCAATAGTCCAAATAATTGGAACACTACTTATGAATTTCCAAACCATTTCACTCTATAAATAACAATCCTTGATAAGCTGCATCTAATTGATTAAGACATGTTAAAGACTAGCTCAGAGGATGGATACCTAATTCCCAGATCCAAACACTGTATATACATACATACACAAACACACATTTATGGAATATAGGTTATGATGATAGATCTATGGCAGAGTAAGCAAATAAAAATATTAAAACTCTGGAAACAAAAATGTTATATCTCAATTTAGAATTTTCATGATTAGGAAGAACAAGAAATAGAGAACTCATACCTATGCTTCTGATCAAATACCAATCTTCAGTGAACAATTATTGGATTTAGCTAATCTTCTTTACCCCAAATGCCAAAACCTAATAACAAATTGGTTATATATATATATATATATATTGAGATTATAAAGCTAAACTTTGACTACAGAGGATTGATTTCTGACATAACATAATTAACAGGAAAAAATAAATAAAGTAGAGAGAGAGAGAGAGGTGATGAATCTGTCTGTATACAAAAATATATAAAATATACATATACAAATTTTTTCCCCCTCATTTTTCTTTCTTGTATAATGCCTTATATTTTCATTTTGGATTTCATGGTTTGATTGAATTTCATGTTCTTATCACATCTTTTATCTTCAATTTTGGATTTTTTTTGTTGTGGTTTTCTGATTTAGATGGACATGTTATCAAAGGGGTTCTGATATAGGAAATGCATTTTTCTACTTAAAATCAGCATCCCCTATTGCTTTTCTGTGGTTATTTTCTGTTTCCAGCATTACTTTTCTTGTTCAATCAGCTTCTAGAAAATCTTCTTCAATTCAATAGGCATCTTATCCTAATACTCTAGAAATTGAACTGCATTTTCTACACATCCTCCAAATCAGCATCTCCTTTTGTTTTTTTCTGAATGTTTTTATGTCAACCAAGCACATAAACCAGAGAAAGCATTATACTAGAGAAATTTTTTGTCAAGGAAATATTTTTGCCATGGATGTGAGGTCGGCATTACAACAGATCAGTCAAATACCTATTATGAATTTCCATTTTCTCCAAAAACCAAATCTCCAAAAACCTAAAGTTTTTGTCAACATTTATACTGCTTGGGCCAATCTTTAAATATATATATATATATATATATATATGTATATAATTAAATATAAAAAAAAAACAAAAACTGAACCAAAAGTGATTTTATTTTAACACTACAGCAAACAAGTGAACAAGAATTGAGCAGAAATTGAGCAAAAATTTAACAAGAACAAGGACGGAAGAACCCTAACTCAACGGAAACAGGAACGAAGGTTCAATCGGTTAATTTGGAGATTGGAGAGTTGGATAAATGCCCTAACTTTAAAGAAGGGAGGTGTTTAGAAAGAAAGAAACAAACTCTAGGTTATAGAAACCTTAACCAAAAAATTGCAGGTCTTTCCAAGCCAATGAGTTTCGAAAGGTGTAAGGGAAATAAGAGCACCGTCTATAGTGAAGAGGTGGTGCTATTGGGGAAGAAGATCCGAATTCAGGGAGTGAAGGGAGACACAAAGGTTGTGCGATGAGGTGTTTATATCGTTCTAAGAGAAGAGAGAGAGAGAGAGAGAGAGACAGAGACAGAGCGTGAATCACAAAAGAGAGAAGAAGAAAAGAAGATGTTGCGCATGTGTTGATGAGGTGGGAACTTTTCCTAATGTGTAAAATATCTCAGCCATTATTGTTGTTTGGAAGATCTGTGACGTCATTCTAATCAATTATAAAGGATTATATATTTCATATTAATGGATTCATTATAAAGGATATATATTTTCAAAACAATGTTTGGTTTTAATTTGTTAAAATTTAATTTTTTAGAAATTGAATTTTTTACTTTTTCCGTATTTGTTTGAATCATTAATTTTTTGTGACGATGTAGGACCGTCATGAAATGAGCAAAAATAAATCACTGCCGTACAGACTAACAAAGGTTGTCACAAAAAAAAAAAAAAAAAAGAAGAAGAAGAAGAAGAGAAGAGGAAACCTAGATAGATAAAAGGTGGGAAAAATTAGTAGCTCTATTTTGTTTTTCATTCGCGTTAATTTCTTCCTTCTCTCAATGAGATTGAAAAAGAAAAATTATTTCTCACTCAAAGGACATAAATTATTAACGGAGGCGGAGAAATATATAGGGTTCTTTATGATTCTACAGCCA